TTTACAGAGATTTTAGATTTCTGTTCATTCACTGTTGCAATTTTCTCCCTTCCCAGCTCCTTCCCCTCCCAGTTTGCTTCTCTCTTTGAAAAGTAAAAGAAAAATTCTTTCTTTGGTATACAATCCCCCCGCACCCGTCCTACCACCGTGAGTACACTCTACTATGCACCCTTCATTCTGGACTCCTTATATTGCTTTTAAATTATTCTCTTCCTCATCTGTTTCAATGCAATATACATAATTTATCCAGTTTTTCTCAGTCTTACCCCAACCCTGATGTCAGTCCCATTCTACAACAATGGTACCATTCAGTATTTGTCCTTTTGTGACTGAGATATTTCACTCAGCATAATGTCCTCCAGGGTCACCTATTTTCTATAATATTGCATGAGTTCCTTGTTTTTCAATGCAGCGTAGTATTCCATTGTGTGAATATACCACAGCTTCTCTAGCCATTCGTTTATTGATGGGCACCTGGGTTGTTTCCAACTCCTTGCTATTGTGAACAAAGCCGAGATAAACATGGGTGTGCATGGGCCCCTCATTTTGGAAGGCACTCAACATATGGCTGGGAAAAGGGTCCCCTTTGAGTTCCTTTTATCTTTGGGGAAAATTCTAGTGAATGACTGTACCAAATTTGCAGGAGACTACTAACTTACATCCACAATCAACACTCTCAGTACCAGAAGCCAGGGGAGTGGAGATGTATTGCATTGGGAAAGTTTGCTGTCGGGAACCTCTCCAAATGACTGAGGAGCAATGATGTCAGTTGGAAGGCTAAAGTATGCCTGATTCAAGCCATAGTCTTTTCCATCACTTTCTATGAATCTCAAAGTGGGGCAATGGACAAAGGTGACAAAATAAGAATTGACACCTTTGAGCTGTGTTGTTGGGAGATGAGTACCGAATATCCCATGGATTGCCAAAAGACAAATGGATATGTGTTGGAGAAAATAGAGCCGGAGAGATCCTTGGAGGCCAAGATGATGAAGTTTCGTCTCACATATTTTGGGTATGTTGCTAGGAGTTGCTAGGAGAGGATATTCCTTAGAGAGGAACAGCATGCTTGGTGAAGGGTCGGTGAAAGAGAGCAAGAGCCTCAACAAGATGGGTTGACACAGTGACTGCAGCAATGGGCCCAAGACAGTCAGAGATGATGAGAATGCCACAGGAGAGGACGGGGTCCCGATCTGTTGTTTATAGGGTGTCTATGAGTCTTCCTTGACTGGAAGGTGCCCAACAACAACCAACTGAAAAGGAAACTATGGTGGCGAAGTCCAGAGGGAGTTGTGAGGCTAACCCAATGGTGGTGCCTCTTGGGTGCTTGGACCCTCTAGTGGCTCCGTGGGAGAAAGAAGGGCAATCTCCTCCTTTGTGATTTATGGCCTCAGAAAACGGCTGGAGGCTCAGCTCTGAGTAGGTTCTGAGAAACCGCTGAAAAGTTGGTGGTTGGAACTCACCCTGTAGTCGCCTTAGAGGTAAGGCCAGTTCCTCTGTGTTCCACATGAGGTCGCCAGGAGTTACAATCAAGTCAGTAACCAAGAACAACAGCCGCAGCTTGCTTATTGAAGGACATGTCGGTTGCTACCAGTGGAGTGCAATTTAAAGCTGCTGTGGGTATTCCTGTTCGGGTTTTTACCTCGTTCACTTCTTTTGAGTAGATGCCTAGGAGGGCGAGTGTGTTGGGTCGAGTGGTTAGCCAAGGTCTCACCTCGTAAGAAACGGCCAGGCTGTCTTTCAAAGTGGCTATACCATTTTGCGTGACTGATTTTGGAATGGGCAGCTGATGGAGAGCAGGGAGATTAGCCGAGCAGCAAAGCTGTATAGAGTTTGGGGGAGGGGCTGGGGCGCACGTTCACACAGGACAGTGAGGAGACGGGGAGGGGGAGGCTTGCTTTCTGGGGTGGTTGAGAGCAAGGAGGTGTGTGTGTATGCGCACATGTGTGTACACGAACACGGATGACGAATGCATGGAGAGACGGAGACACAGAGAGACATTGGGGTTCGAGGCTCAAAGGGCCTGTATATTGGGGTTTGCAAGTATGTGAGATTTTAAAGTTCCCGTGAAACTCCGTGTGTGTGTGTGTGTGTGTGTGTGTGTGTGTGCGCGCGCGCGCATTGGTGCGTGGGTGGCTGAGTATCCACGAACCCCTCAGGGTGTGGCTGGCTCCAATTTCGGGTTTCTGGGGTCTGAGCGTGTGTGTCGAGCTCTCTGTGTGTGTCCCCGGCACTGGGCTCTGGGTGGGAAGGCGGGCGAGTTCAAGAGCCCAGCATCCATGTCCCGCACAGCCAGCCTCGGTGGAGGAGCTCCGAGGGTCTGCGGGTCTTCGGCGCGCGGG